TGAGCGTAATGAAAAGATTTTTCAGCCGAACTTACATTACGTTTGAAGGAGGCTTTGTAACCTTCATGCTGATTCGATGTTAACAAACTCTTATCTGTCAAAGAACAAATAAATAATTGATCCTGCGATATTTCGCTAATTTTGTAGGATGAATGAAAATCTCGGAAAAAAGTTTAGTAAGTACAAGACAGTAAACATGTAAAAGATATCACCAATTTTTTGGGTAAAAACCAGGCCCACAACTCATTCTCCTAAGGATCAATACCTGTCACAAAATAATAACCATTCAAGGATAAAGTCTTAGGGCGTAAATCGATCTAAGGGATGCGCCCATGCATTTGACCTCCATTCAGAATCGCAGTGGCGAATTGAATGCGTATGTGGCCTATACAATGACTTGCGGTGGACAACCGATGAGCAAGCCTTTGTGGGGGCTTTTATCCTCCTAGGAGGAGTGTGGTACCAATCAACCGGCCCCGAAGCATGGAAGGCTTGTATGACCTAGGCGGATATAGATCCAGAATACGAACCCGTGTCCGTTGTTGAGATAGTGCGTTAATAAAAATTCATCAAAAAAATAATAAATAATACAATGTAGTATTAGAATAAAANAAAACAGGAAATAGTGATGCACACGTGGAATTCTTCGTAATTGCCTGTCTACTGCCTAAATACGGCCTAAATACTTGACTTCGTCTATGATGTTGAGTGGACGAGTTTTGCAAAGTGCTTTTCGATAGACTTGATTAATGCCAAACACTTTACACACATCAGTAGTGGCATTGTTATAGCACATGTTTTTGTCTTTACAGTTCTAATAAAGACATTAGTTCTACTCCTCCTAGTACAAATAATGCATATTGATTGAATTACGTCTATTGCCATCGAGGGTCTCATCAACATTTTGAGTTGTCTTGCTTACAAGTCATTTGTTTACTTGTTTTTTTCTTCTCGCAGTAAGGTACACAACATTGGAAATGCAGAATGTTGGCTTCATTAAAAATTGCTGAGTAAGTGAACAACGAGCTGCAGATATGCCAATAAGACACAAGCACCCATTGAGAATAACTAGCCAGGCGAATATGGTATGGCTCAAAACAGACCTCGAAGTAAACAACGTCGAAAACATGCGTTCATCTGCTTGCCAGCTTGAAAGGAGTGTTATTGCCAGCAAAATTTAATTGAAAAGTCAGACAGACAGCCGAGTTGGTAAGCGAGGTGTGTGCCGAAGTGAACTGCCAACTGGATACGACAAATATTGAACTTTGGGTGGAGCCTTTTGAAGTTTTTTTCTTGAAACTTTGAAAGAATGCAGAGGCCAAGGTCCTACCGACTGAAGAGAGTACGCCTAACCTTCTAGAGTCCCTAGACGTGGAATAACTGCCGTCAGACACACCATCACCCAAGATCGAGTAAATCTGGCTAAGCTCCCTATGCGTATAATCCTAGGAGGACTAAGTAAATAAACTCCAAATTAACGCTGGCAATTTGGAATGAATGGTGGACTGCTTCTGTTATGACTGGTATCGACTGATATCATTGTGTAGAAGTGCGTCCCTTCAGCATCCACTCACTGATAACCCAGTCCTGAGTCTTCACCTCATTACCAGTACCTCTTACTAATTCATGTATTATAATTGCTCTACTGCAGAAGTGAACTAAGTGCCGATTACTTATTCGATCGCTCTAAAAATCGATATCGAAATCAAATCACTATCGATTTCCAGGGGTTACAGTGGCAAAGAAGACACCTATGAGACATCATATGATCCACGATGATAGGTGCTACCCCTAAGATCAAGCTAACCTACCTTCTGGTAAATTGACAGAGTGACAAGCCGCTCGAGAGGCTGACACCCCAAATGACTGTTCTATATACAATGAAGAAAGATATGTGGGATAGGGTGGAACTGGTAAGTGGGGATCAAAGGGTTTATTGGCTAACTGTAACGATGACGGGGTTAATTCAAACACTCAGACATGACAGGCAAATAGCAGAGGATTGATATAAAGAATGAACGCGCAAGAGCCAGTAAAGTAATACATACAGAATATACAGAGGGGCAATATTGACATAAAATAGCTGGAGAGGTTTAGGGCCAGTTTCGAGTTGAATAGGAGCTATTATGACGAGGAAAATGATAGAGTCGAAAATCAAATGGAATCGAAGTGTTTGCTCGAAAAAAACAAGTATGTGCACAATGACTGATCTTTCCTTTGGTTCATGGAATCGAGTAGATAGAAGGTAGATCAGAATAACAAGTACAGGATGGTTATTTTTGTGGCAGGTGGGGTGCTTGTAGATGAAGAGAGTCTCTTTGAGGTTATGGACGGTATAGATCCCCATACAGGAAGTAGAGATAGGGAGGGATCGTTTGACAAAAAAGGTACCCGAAAAGTGATCGGATATGATCCGACAGTTCTTTGTAAGCCTTCCTCGAGCGTATAGATAAGCCACAGAGCAACAGTGCGTGGCTATTGAGGATTTTCTTTCTAAAACTCTCCTACCTGAAGAGTACGGCATGACGTATCTGGATGCCTGTTATTGCAGATCAACGTTTCGTGATAGGATCTGCACTTTGGGTTTTAGGACGAATTGCTTTTCTTCTGGCCTCAGGGACTCGTAGCCGTTCTCGTGAACAGGGGCTACTTACTCATGAGAGTAGATGAATATGGTCACTGTAAGCGAGAGGCCTAAGTCAGTCTCAGCTGCTCAAGGATTCGTTGCATTCGTGGTAACTATCTGCACTGAGCACACACCTATGATTGACTGCTTCTAGAGTGAATGAAGTAAGGGTTGATTACTTGCTGCGAGACTACTGACCACATGATCATCAGCTAGGATTGACTGAGATCGTTCAAAAGGATGCAACTTCTTCAAAATTTAGAGTAGGAACCCCTACTTGTGACAATTTCTTTTCCAGGAATCATGAAGTCCAGATCTTTTCGGGATAGTAGCTTGAAAAGAATATATGTAAGTACGAGTGCTGATTTCTCCACAATTACGCATGCCACTATGTAGGAACCATTGCTTCGCCCACCCAGGTCGAGCTTCTATTAGGATGAGGGAAGGAAACAGATTTCGAATTCTGCATGGGCATCAAAAAAATAAATAAATGTTATACTACAAGTAAAAATACAAAAAATAACAAAAAAATAAGTAATAAAAAATATAAAAAATAATAAATAAAATAAAATAAAACAAAAATAGATATAACATAATAAATACTAAATATCAAATAGTTGCCTCTACTTCAAACCAAGTGACACGTAACAAGCTGAACCCGTGTCGAAGGCTAATGGAAGACTATTGCGTAGGGACACGTTTATGGTGCTCATGAAAAACAACCTCAATGGTGATTATCGATAGTCGCTGATAACGCTTTCGCCCTTGAGGTTTGATTACCATCCCATACCATCACTGACATCACTACCATGAATGTTATGGCTGGCTTTCGGGAGGAAATGAGTCTACATCGTCCCTTAGAGTTATGATCCAATAATTTTGAGTTGCTCTGGCAAAAATCGGCCTCCTTTCGAGCCTATAAATCCGATTTTCTCAGAGATTCATGGGAACACGTTAAAAGTGAGGAAACCGGGGAGTGATAAGAAGAGAGAAAGAAGAATCCACTAGAACTAATAAAAAAAGGGAGAGCAGGCTGTGCTTAGCCTGATGTATTCACGATTGATTCCATCTCCTTTATTCCGAAGTTTTGAGGTACATCAATGTAAAAAAGAGAAAAAGCATGAATTGATGCATAATAATACGCAACTGGTCAATTCAATTAGGGCTAAAGTAAAGAAATGCATGCGACGTAATCAAATTACCTACTAAGAGGGCGATGATCCCATTACAGTGTTATCGCTGTGATAAAAAACTTATATGGTGAAAAAGACAGTTCAATTGCCATCAAATAAAACCTATCATCCAATCATCTAGCTGATTTGAAACATGTGTACCCCCAAATACAGTATGAATAGGAAACTATGCCGACTACAGTAGTAAATGTAACTTTAGTGCCCCTGTTCCGAAGGATTGTACGGCATGCCGCTGTCATCGAACCCTCCGAGAGAATCGCAGGAGGGTGAGAGCTGAGCAAATTGGGGGATTGAAAAGGAGCTCGACTGATTCATTTGAAATGACTCATTCGGATTCCGCCCAGTTGCGGTCCACGCAGCGAGAGACAGTTCTTAGGCAGTTGTCTTGTCGCAGAACATTTATGGTGGCGTAGCTGCGTTAGGTAGTTGACTCGTCGAATCCATTCTGGGCAATCGCTCACCCTACATGAGATGTTCCAAGGGTTATTTCGCAGAGCGAGTGATCACAGATTTTCTGACTATAACGGGACCCATAACGGTGGCAAAAGCTCTTCTTCAAGCGATACAGTGCGCTTTGTAAGCTTCCGGAAGCAGACGTGAGAGCAAATCACAAGAATGTCGGCTAGNAGTGTTTTCCAAATGATTTTATTTCTCTTTATTAGCTCTGAAACAATCAAGGAGCCTCAGATAAGTGATGCGAAGACTTTCTTAGCCCCACTCTGTCGAACTTCCTTACGTACAGCGCTTTTGACAAATGCCGGTCCCCTCTTTCTTCGGTATAAAGAGGGTTCTCCCTGATGAAACTGCCTCAGCCATTGAATAGGCTCCTTGAACCCTTGCTGTCCGCTTGTTTGATCAACCCCCTCGGAAAAGACAGTGCCCCTGACAATTCCATTGTCGACTTTCATTGTGCATTGAAGTTGCTTTGTACAGATAGGTAGCGCTGCCCACAGTTTGATAATTCTCACTTTTTTCTACTGTTGTAATGGTTTGCAAAGCCGGTTTTCAGCTTATCTATCCCTAGAAATTTTTGAAAGTTCAGCTTTTGTATATGTAAATACAGTTTTGTTGTCGTTCCCAGTAAAGCCTCTATTCTATCCTATATCCAAACCGATGAGAATTTCATATATTTATTCGCTATTAACTTATAGACATCTATTCACATTAATGAACCGACATTTTCAATATGGTGTTGGAACGGGATTCTGAGCCGGTGGTGGTGGTGGAGGAGGAGGTGGCGGCGGTGGTGGTGGTGGTGGTTGATATTCAGGTTGAGGTTGTGCCGCCACTGGTTCCGGATATTCCACAACAGGTGGTGCTTGAACTGGAGGTGGAGCTGTGTAGTCTTGAGGCTGAGAAGCTGCTGGTTGTCCATAGGGTGCTGATGCTGGTGGAGAAGTTGCTGGTTGTCCATAAGGTGGAGGTGTAGCTACCGGTGGTTGATAGATTGGTGGTTGATAGACTGGTGGTGGTGGAGGTGGTGGTGGAGGAGGGAATGGCCTCTTTGGAGCACAGCACACACACTTAACGTTGTTGAAGTATGGTGGTGGCAGGAAATCCACCTGGAAAAAAAATAAAAATACAAAAAGTCGCTCAGAGCTATTTGAAAAAAAAATTGAACTAGAAAAGAAGATTACACGGAACATGCCACAAAAGTTGTGCTTCTGAGGCCTGGAAATCGGGAAATGGCTTTGCAAAAGACCATACTGAACTGTTACTCCGAGAAGGTCTCAGAAACCCTATTATTGAGTGTACTACATTCTTTCCGTCAAATGAGCCACATCAGTCAAAACGACTTTGGGTGCCACCTTTGGCATAGCGATGTTTTCGAAGACACTCAGAACGACGCTGATTGTCACCTATCCCAATAATAAAGGTAGGGAACCTAAGTTTTATCGGTTCTTTGGCCAACCCTACTAGTGATTTTGAAAAAAAGGTTCCCATTAGGAAGATTGTTCGTTGTTCACCACCGCTAAGTACCATCTCCCGAATGAACAGAGCTTTCGAATTATGACCGAGATCACTCAGGCTCACGCACGGGGTCATCAAACTTAGTTGCAGATTGAAAACACACATTGAGATCCTTCTAAAATGCTCGACTTACCGCTTTCACATTGACGGAAGGAACCCTCGTTGGATACGAGCGCTTCTTGCGTTGCTGTAATGCGATTTGGTTAGAATTTGCACTTTTCAAACTCTTGGCTAAGAAAAAGCTCTTGTTGTATGATTAGGTTACGTTATGTTGTTAGCGATTGCAATTNTTCCCACGTTTGCCTTATGCAACGTCTTCAATAAATAAATAAATAAATTTAAGTGGCTCAATGAATCCTAGACTGCAGCTCAGTGGAACCTCATATGCTTACCACTTGATCCAGGTCACCTTCCTCCTCCAAGTCATATGGTCTGCTAGGTGGAGGCCTAGGAGGTTTCCCGTTAAAGTCGTCCGTGACGGCCAGGAATCCGACGAAAGCAGACTGAATAGGTTATTTACCGTTGTGTCAGCGTGCTTACTTTGCAGGCAGAAGAAATGAAACCATACGAAGTAATGAGAAAACGATCGAGCTCGAGGAGGGGTATTATGAGGAGACGGAGTAGCTGGAATAGGACCAAGGGGAGGCTGCTTAACCACCGAGCTCTCGTCAGAGACAGCCTCATTGTTCTCTTCACAAATGGCCAATTCATGGGGTTCATACAGTTATAGCTGCAGCCATTTGAGACGGGAGCTGAAAGCCAGAGTCAGACCACATCTGGTTTTTTCTGGCACCAGAAGCAAAGCTGACTCGACTGCACCTGAAGGAAAAGGTCTAGAAGAAGTAATGGGGAGCATGAGCGTTCGCATAACGTCCAGGGTACGAAATTAAATGGTCTGCATGACAACTCATTCAATGTCAGTACCCTAGACGTGAGACGAAAGGAGGCGGAATGGAGTGGAAGGACGATGAGATTCTGAAACAGGACATCAACGAAAGGAGATTGCAGGGTAGTCTCGGCAACCGAGTGAGTTCTGAAAGAACCGAAATCCAATGAATTGGCCCTACGTTTGGCATGGACTTGTCACGACGTGCAGCATTCTGGCAGCAAACGTTGCAGGAGTCCTCGTCGTAGTTGGCAATCACCGAGCACCTGAACAGAGAACCTCAGCTATAGAGCATCCAGGGATCGATGAAATTGTCTGTTGATCAATGAGTTTGTCAGATATGATGCCAAGTCCTACCGTACACGAATAGCGCGATTCATTGCAGGGAAACCCGGAGGAGGTGGACGAGATCCACGTCGGCTCTGTACCACCAACAACACGGAAGCGTCCAGGTCGCACACGTCACCTAAATATGATATCGGAATAGGGCTGAAATCGTTCGAGGACTCAAAGCACCTGAATCTGAGACTTACGGTCTACCAATGGTGGCGGTGGTGGTGGCATGTATTGGTAGGCCATGTACGGTCCGTACGGGGCGCCACCGTAACCCGGATCATAGGTGGGTGGCGGTGGTGGCGGTGGTGGTGGAGGAGGTGGAGGGTAACTCGGTGGGACTCCGTAGGAGCCTTTAGCGGTCGCATTTTTTATCTGGAATAAGAATTTACTATCAATACATTGCCGAAGACTTCTACTTCAGAGTAATAAGTGTTTAAGCACCAGATACTCCACCTGGAGAATGTGCTGTTTCCACTTTGGAGATGGTTTTGAAAATAGCACAAAAAAATGTCTCCTAAGGATTTTTCAAAAATTTGTAACTTTAACACTCACATATTTCATCACAGGGTTTCTGGTTTTTTTGAACAATGGAGGAGTTATCGAATATTTTTAAAATGGGACCAAACTCAGTCCAATACGCAAAAAATGCCCACTCCGTCAGGGTGAGTTTTGAAGTCACGGCCTCTTCTACACCTTTTCCATTTTCATACCCTCTGGAATGACCTAATACTGGAGGGAGATTGGACAATATTCCGATGACAGGGTACTCGATTGTGAAATATTCCTGTTTGAGGACGTTCTTGGGGGGAAATGGTCATCTGCTCAAGCTCGGTCACCATAGCGCATCAACTAAGAATTAATATGGAATATCCTCGCTTAAGAGTGCGACTCAAACTATAACAAATGGGCTAAAGAGCTTCTTCAACCTTTTCAAGTCCCTCTACTGAATGATAACGATGATAACGGACCCACATTTTTAACTGCTCTGTGACAAAGCTCACTTTGATTATCCAATCTCTGTAGATTCAGTGAACTTTGCAAGCACGAGAATAGATTTTTCCAGTATGAGCTTCTCAGTTCTGACAACTATTTTAAAATTGGCACAAAGATGAAAAAATGATTAATTTGTGAAAACTCTTGGTATACTTTAGAAAGGGAGTTTATTAGTTACCAAGCTTTGCAAGGTTTCTATTCAAAACAGTAAGATCTCAATGTTCTATCCGAAAGATTTTAGGGAACGTCTAATGTAAGTCACAGAAGGGTTGAGAGCATCCTACAGCGACATGAGAGAAGAGTAAGAAACCAGAAGAGCATGAATAACATTACAGAACTCAAATGAATACAGTAAAAGGGTACCCACCTCATTGGCGAGACAGGAAAAGACGCAGGCAGAGGCTAGAATCAGCCACTGCATGGTTCGCTGTCGAGATGCTTTTTCAGAATGCATCTCAGTGCTTTTATACGGATGTAGAGACGGTACAAACTGTGGAAATGGAGAGAAACGAGCTATTTCTTTGGGAAATAGTACTGACATCGTCGGAGAGCCGACCACAGACAAGATCTCGGCTGCTGATAATGGAGCAAAGGAAATGTCGAGCAGCAAAAACATCTTTGTCCGTTGTGACACTGTGCTGAGTAAGACAATGAGTGAGAATGAGAGTGGTCCTACACCGATAGTTGTGGAAGCATCGGAAACTTCTGGTTTTGAAGATGAGTGCATGTCCAAAACAGCTGAGCAGAACGCTCCGCAAAATGAGGGAAGGTTGAGGTTACTACAGTTGATATCTATTCGAAGACGGACTGTTAAGACCCCAGTCCCGAGGAACGTCTCCTGCCTCCCCTTTCCTACACCCTTCATAATTTTCCGAGCATCTTAGGAGATCGGTGGGAACTTAGCAAATCACGCATTTACCCCACGCATTTCCTCTATTATTTGTAATAATCCTATCAGTCCTTTTTATTGGCCACATGCGTGCTCAATCGTCCCTGCAAGTCTGAATGGTGGTCTAATTTGTGGCGTATGTCCTTAGGACTGATCCATGTTGACTGATTTCTATGTACTGCTTTTTATTAACTTGTTTCTATTTGGTAAGGCATCGGCGGTACCGTTCCGTGTGGCCAATGAAACCTCGACGGTTACGAAAAAAATCTATAGAAAGAAATTGGAGATGTTAAACCATGCCTCTGAACGATTGATAGATTCCCTTCAAGCTTTTTGATTTGTTGGATAGTACCCATTGACTGGTACGAGAAGATTATGCTAGTAGTTTATACCTGGTGCGCTACATTAACTGTATGTTGTTGTTCTTCTGCCCTTCCATTTCGAAATAAGATTCCCACGTTAGGTTTTGCACAATCATCAATGATGAGCTCCGTGAAGATCAGATATGAAATTCATAAAACGGAACTTTGTTTTGCTGACGACTGCATAATAAAGAAAACATAGAAAAAATGTTTGGAATGTTGTTAAGAGCGCTCTTCGGACGTTTTGAAATCTCTTCCGTCATGAAAATCACGAGTCAAAGTATATGGATGCTTATTCATGCCACCTTAGTATGCTTCGCAGAGCCTTCACCCAAATGAGAACTTAGAAAGTGCTAGACAGGAAGCAGGACCAAGGTTAGGAAGCCGGCAGGAGTCCACCAAAAAGCGGACTTAACTTTTAGGAGGTTCAAGGGTACAGGTTAGAGGGAAGTTCGCTTCAATCGTCTACTTCATGCCAAGCCTAATCAGAGGCATATAGATGCGGCACCCCCTTCCAAAACAAGCCATTTCAAGAGAAACTGTCTAATTGATGATAGTTTCTTCGGAATATTGAAATTTTTTCAATTACTTCTTTCATATCATTTATTCAAATACTCATCATTTCTTTCATTTCGCTGCTTGTAGATGGGCACTGTTCTTGACAGAGACTTCGAATGATCATACAACTGCATTGTGATGGTACTGCCATTTCGGCCACGTGATAATTAAAATTAGTAATTACCAAAATGAAAAGCAATTTTCTGGATGAGTACAGAATCGATTAAGGAGAAAATTATGCTGAACACAGGTAGTAACTCAACACTCCACTTGTTTACTACGATACTTCCTCAGGCGGTAGGGCCACCTAAGAGACTCTATAAACGTCGCTTCCGTATAGGTTCTTTATGAACCTCTCTTTTGACCAAACATCCTTACTATTCTTGCAATAACTCAGTCGAATGGCGAAGCTTGGAGTATGATGGTCCTCATCCAACTCAACCCGGGACTGCTACCGCTTTCTGATTGAGTGATACAGACTGATCTTAGGAATTCTTCGTCATCTGATCCTGTGTATGAGAAATCTTCGGACTCTCAGTACACAGCTGTGTTGGAACGTCTGCTGATAACGTATCTTCAACAAAATCTCCTGTTCTACCGTAATCAAGCTATCGCCGATTATAAAAGCTGTACAACGGCTATGACACAGCTCATCGGTATGTATCGTCTTGCCCTCCTTGTGTTAGCTACAGCCTATGGAGCCGTGGCTGATGAGGTAAGATTTCATTCTCAGACTCGGTAAGATTACCTTCAAAGGTTCCCAAATACAAGAGGTTTTTTCACAAACACTTATTCCTACACCACAATCTCTGTCATTTTAGGAAGTCAAGGAAAATGTAGCAGCCGGGTATTTCTCACCTGTGCAAGTGGATCCGGGTTATGGGTGAGTCGTAGAATTATTGAGCGGGCAATAAAAATAATTGGTTTGAAATAATTTCAAATATTCTTGACAACGAGCTGAATCTTGAGCCGATAATGCGCTGGTAATTAAACTTAACACCTTGGGTAGGGCCCATCTCCACCTCTTAACCAGTGGTAAGGTTTTATCATTGGTCCTACCACTCTACTGTGTCACTTTTACCTAAGCCCCTATCGCATCATAACTTCTATCATTTTGAATAAAAATGAGGAGATCCGCTTTTAAGGCCCAGAAGTGACATTCGAACGATTATTGTAGGTACGATCAGCCCACATACCAGCAGCCATCCTACCAGCCACCGCAGTATTACCAGCCACCAGAAATTGTATTGCCACCATTTGCTTTGCCCACATTTGATGGTGAGCTCACATTTCCATCAATTTCTGCTGAGTGGGCGCTTTACTTTAGGTGGAAACCTTTTTCAGTGGCCTACTGCAGCGTGTTTGCGTCATTCCCGTTGGTTGGTGCTAAGAGATACAAAGGTAAAGGTTATGATTGCAACGCTCCCTCATAGATTTTACTTGAACTGGTATAGTAAGCTGGTCTCCAGAGCCTCCGGCTACGGCTATAGTGAGCGAAACTGCAGCCAGCTGTCCGCGTTAGGCATACATATCGATTGCTGACGAGGGCCGCTAACTATAGACGTAGCCTGTGCAGATTATCAACCTGAACCTGCCTCAACATTTTGCAGACCACCGACGACGTGGACCTCCTGGTATGCGCAGGTTCGAACGACAGTCCTGTCGCAACACGGCCGTATTCTCTTGGAAATCCTGTGACACATGCTGCAAGATTTCCAGTCGAGTGGACGAAAAGATTCCTATGGTAAGATTCATCTTGGGATACAAGTCGATAGTTCGATAAGCCTCTGATTTCAGAGCAGCATCACCGGTGCATTATTCGTATTCGATCCTGATCTGGACTTCCGCCAAAACGGTAATCTGGCAGAGGTGAGTCATCGAGTTCGACATCCATAATGGGCACAGACACTTACACCTTTTCCGACTACCTGGACTTTATGCCTAGCTGGTCGGAAAGAGTTCGATCGAAGAGCAGTAGGGCTTATAGCGGTGCTTCTTACCACCCTCAGAAAGTCCTCTTCCTATTTGAGTTAATGCCCATGCTCAAGTGAATGACGAAGACGATTTTTTTCAAGCACCTCGCTATTCTTTCATTTCAAGCATTATTGCAGAACTTTCCTCGTTGCTTATACTATAGCTCTTTTTCTTCCAGGACAACAGCAACAATAAGGCAGTACAATGTGTTTGCTGTGCGCCAAAGGTCTACTAAATCGACACAAAGATATACAACTTATGTGATTGGATGTAATTTTTAGTGAATAAAGAATTTATTCTGCTTTGAAATGCCACTGCAGGGTTCCTATATGCATTAGATGAGGTAACCTTGGCAAATGGACAAATCTGCAGCGATTTAATGACAGAGACCGTTCCACTGAAGTTCCACTTTGATAGCACCTGAAATCCAGGAATAAATAATGATGCTTCCTAACAAGGAAAAAATCTTCACAAAAATAAGATCACACTATGAGAAACAACGTTAAAGGATGAAGTGCTAAGTGTTGATCTAGTCTGTAAATCCGCAAGGTTGCGCCATGAAGCCGAATTTGAGCGTGTCAACCATGACCATTCACCTATGCTTGTGCACTTTCGTCTTTTCAATGGTTTGGGCGTCAGGTTAATTTTCATCGAAGCACAAACATACTTGAGCAAGTAGAAAAACCAAACCACTAACTATGTATAAATAAACCCGAACACCTTAATTTTGAATCTTAGCATTTCTTCAGTGATGCTGCGCTCATTTACAAAAAGTAAAGAGTAATGCATAACTCTTCACCACCATTTTTCTACCAAAGGAAATCGGTTCCATCGAAAAATATCACACATCCTTTTGTAGTACACATCATAAAGGAAGAAAACTATATTAAAGTACAAAATTTATTTGAACAGGAGACCATTCGACATGGAAACAAATAGTAACGACACTTAAAAAGAACGTTACTGGTGTAACCAACGGGAAATACTACAGTAGAAACAAATAGTAAAGGAGAACATACCAAAGTTACGAACAATAGCGCCACAACAGGCTGAGTTCATCTTCTCATAACTACTGTATCTCTATAATTACATCGATGAACAAATCGGCAAACGAGCGAACTTTTAAATATTTCAACTCAAAACAAAAATAATGTAACAATCAATAAAATCCTGGCTGAGGAGGAGGAGCACCATAACCAGCCATTGGAGGAGGTGCCATATTGAAATTTGAAACAGGGGCCTATAAAAAGGCGATTTTTCTTTATTGGAAGGGGTGCCCATTCATAAAGAAACGTACAGTAGTTGCAGGCGCCATTGTAGCATCCTGAGGCTTTGGAGTGAGAATATTCCGCGCAATGACTGCGTCAGGGAATAACTCATGATAAGAAGATACCGGTACATAATTCGCAGTAATGACCTAAAAGTTATATATTCACTACCTTGGTCGTTTTTTTTTTGTGCAGCTTAGACGAAAATTTGACAAAAAAGGGTAAAGCGCTGCGAAACAAGTTCGAAAAAGCTTAGAACATGCACTGCACAAGGCGCATTAGCGACTGCTCATTTCGAATATTTTTGCTGGAAAACGCCTTGAAAATAGAATCAAATTTGAAGTCCATAGAAATGAAATTGATCACATGCAAGACTTACCTTCCCACTGAACCATCGTCCATGCAATGCGGTAACACTTTTATGTGCACTAGCCACTGATGGACACTTCACGTACACATTACCCTGCGGACTAGCGGTGTCCACGTAGACATGGAGAGCGCCGCCGTTCTTATAGCACTCCTCAATGACATCCTGAAACATTTTCATGAACACTCTGAGATTTGAAAAGCGAAATTGTTCTTTAGTGCCTACAAAGATTCAATATATACAGTTGCAACTCACATCCCGCACTTCCACGGCCCATGTAGGACGCGTTTCCGTTCGAGGGTCGAACATGTTAGACAACATGAAGCATTGCGTAGCTATTGCTGGAATTGTGGGATCCACAGCTTGCTGTTGAAGAGCCTGCTGTGCCGCCTGCGGCAATTCAATTCCGGTGCCTGGAAAATCGCAAGAACGCTTTGAACGAATTCAAATTTCACTTGTTTGCGTAATTATTAGATTTTGAGTCCAAAAATTGTGTGTGAGCAAAAATGCGTGTCGAGTCATAAAACACCGCGGCGAATAAACGTAACAAACTCAACCTTTTAGTGAGTAATATGCGAATTAATCAATAGAAAACATCTACCAGGCCATGAGCTTCACATTTAAAAAAAAANAAAAAAAAACGGAAGGATGAAAGCTACATACTATGACTCCTGTAATGAAACATACTACCTTCTGCTAATTTAGCCATAAGCTGGATACGCCCTCCTTGACCAAGAGCTAGACCTTGTTTTTCATCAGCAACATCATCCAGGCTTCGTTGTCGTATGGATTCCTCATCCTGGAAGACGGTACTTTTCAATTCGAATTCAGAAAATAAAGGGAAATAAAATAAAGGTGAAAAAATGAAAAATGGCTGAGCAATTCAATACGAAAAGTGAAACCAGTGCTTCAAAAAGAAATCTTATAACTCACGTCGTCTACGATGGAAACTTTAATTGGTTTTCCGGCAATTTCAAATCCATTCAACTGCTCCATTGCCTTTTGCCCATCTTCAGTTAATTTGAACTGAAAAAGAAGAGGCTTTATGTAGTCACACAGAAGAAAAGAAAGAAGTCCTGAGATCACAAAAACCAGGCGAAACATTCTTTGGTAGTTAGGCGTTGGAAAAAAGAGCTAAAATTGGAAAAGGTAAGCAAACACAAGCACTGTGAAAGAATTGAGCACCGTACGCACTTACCGTGACAAATCCGTAACCGAGACTATTTCCAGCAGGATCTTTAACAATTTCAATCTTTTCCACTCGTCCAAATGCATCGAAAATGCCGTCAAGCATAGATTCTGTGATGTTCGGATGCAACTGCTGTACATGTAGCTTGCAAGGTCCCTTAAACTCAATATTTCAAAACAATTGGATTTTACACGCATCACAGCTAAGACTTTTGCAAAAATGATTTCAACATAAAAACCTAGTGACGAAAAGGCAAACCTTTGAAGGTGCTGGACCAAATCCAAGTGATGTGCCAATCGTTGCATTAGCCGCCCTATTACGCTCAGCACATGTGCGTTGAATCACGAGGGGAGCTCCTAAAACAAATTATAACACCAGTCAAAGACCGCATTATCCATGATCGCTACCAAATGTGCTTTCAATTAAGAAAATGAAGGGAAACATACCCAAAAGTTTCTGCCCACTGAGAGCTAATCCAAGAGGGACACTTTCCTCTTCCCAAAACTCGACATAGGCAATTCCCTTCGACCTTCCTGTACGTGAATCGGTAATAATTCGCACATCGCGCACGCTACCCACAGCACTGAAGAACTCCTCAAGATCACGAGGGCGAGTTTGCCTTGCTATCTGAAAGAAAAATGTAATAAAATGAAATGATATCAGATGTCAGGCTTTCTCCGTCGAACTGCAACTTTCTGCAGGTCTTCCATGATCTTCTATTGAATATTTGGAAGCGCTCCTCTGAAGGACATGAGATGGTGACAGAATGAGGATTGGCAAAGTAAGTGATGAGAAAGTTCTATTCCTTCTCAACACTCGCGTGAAAATCTCAATGGAAATTTGCACCCTCTATAGTGAACTGAAACGGGACAAGGAACGATAGGTCAAGACAAATCTTCTAGACTGGGTCAGGACCAGAAATTTGATTTTTCTCTCATGCCCTATGCACGATGTGTTCTCTATCTTAGAGCAGCTACAATAGCACAACGACATGTGCGTAACAAAGTCTCCAAAGATGATGGAGAGGTTGAGGAGCCAAACGTTAAGAAAATACAGTGATTATTATTTCCTCCCTCAAACCTTGAACAAACCAGTTTTCTTTGAAAGGGTGTGTAACCAAGTGACATATGCCTCCAGAATGCAATGGGATATATTTTAAGAGATATCATGTCATCTCACAGCAAACGGAGGGTACCATCTGGCTCCTGTAGAAGTATTTTTCAACAAAAAAGACTGAAAAACAGATATAAACGGATAAAGGTCTCTCAAGAGGCCTTGCGTAAAAATTTTCAGGGAAAACATTCAATGAAGTGAAAAGTATACTGCAAAGTTAACGCGCTTTTGCCTACCTGTAAAATAAATAGAGTTCTTTGATCTCTTTCCTCTGCGCTCATGTCTAATTTAGCACCTCGCGGTGGCGAATTGCGGGCTGTGAATGGCATTACATCACGCCGTTCTGGGCCAGGAAGGCGATCTGCAATAGAAAAAACATTGTCACCTTGGAATTGACAAATTAACTGGCTAGTGATAAAACTAACTCCTTGGCGGCGGTGATCTTCTGATTGGAGAACGTCTATCACGATGATCAATGACGCGAGGACGAGATCGGGATCGACGATCACGGTCACGACGACGATCTCGAGATGAACGGCGACGATCACGCGAACGCGATCTGAATTCGATTAGAATGTAAGCACTACCCTAATAATGAGTAACATTGATTCAAGCAAAGAAAGTAGAAACACTGAATACCTCGAACGTCTCCTTTCACGCGATCTGCTTCTTTCGCTCCTCCTGCGGTCCCTGCTTCGGCTCCGCTTACGATCTCGAGACTTCGACCGGCTACGGCGTCGACGACGATCACGACTCGAACTACGTTTCCTGTCGCGGCTAGAACTGCGCTTACGCTTCTTACGATCACGGCTTCGCGACCTAGAATATAGTTGCTACTCTAATTGAACTAAATGGCCTTATCCTGAAATCAGCAGAATCTGAAAGTCCAGAAATATCCTCGATCCTCGGGGGTTTTCCATGAGACGACATGTGAGCTTTGCGCCGAAAGCCTGCAACAATGGCCCGAACCAACCGTTCACTTTTAATATCAGTCGTCATTTTCCTATGTTCATCAGTTGTTCACAAGTTGCTACCGAAACTAAAGAATGAAAGGCAAACTAAACCCATTCAGTTGCTATTTTACTCTACCATTACTGTCTCGTAAATAATAATAATATGCAAAACAGAAGCGCTTCTTTTCACATAAAGCTATATTCGATGGTCACAGGCTTACCTTTTCGTGTCGTTGGTGACTAGAAGCTGCAACCCGTTGAAGACTACATTAAAACTAGATTAAAACTAGTATACTTACACGCACTTTTACGAATACCTGTAGCTAAAACTTTTGTAATGCATTGCGAAGAACTGATGAACTAATTAAAATAGGTAGCGAACGATCGGCTCGTTATTTGATGGCCGCATTGCATGGTCACGACGCGTACCTTTTCCATTGGAGAATACGTGAGGGATCGACTTTCGTTAACGCACGTATGCCGGTCACAAATCCATGCGCGTTCGGAATATCGTCTACAACGACGAGCAAGTCTAAGTATATTGTTAAGAGAATTCACACCACTATAAACCCTTTCCACAGAGGCCATTCATGAGGTCTAAAGCGTTATTACGCAACTGATCGGCATGATCTGGTCGCTCAGTGCTGATTGATACTACTGAAAGAACATTCAGGCGTGCCGTTACTCTCC